TGTAGACCCCTTCTCATAGGGAAGTAGGGGAGGTGGGTCCCAACCATATAGAGCCCGGAAGGGAGTCATTCYGGCTGCACTGTGATATGTGGTATTGTACCACCATTCTGCCCAATGAAGCCACTTGAGCCACTGGCGGGGCCGTTCCCCTGCATAGCACCTTAGGTAGGTTTCCAAATTCCGGTTGACCACTTCAGTCTGTCCATTTGTTTGAGGGTGGTAGCTGGTCCATTTTAAGAGTTGCATTCCTTGTAATCGAAAAAGTTCTGCCCAGAATTGACTCATAAAGATAGGGTCGCGGTTGGAGACAATAGAGTTGGGGGTACCATGCAGTCGTGCCACCTCCTTAGTAAAAATTTCAGCAAACATGGAGGCTATGAAGGGGTGGGGCAGAGAGAGAAAATGGCCGTATTTGGTGAATCTATCAACTGCTACGAGAATGGCGGACTTGCCATAGGAAAGGGGGAGTTCTGTTATAAAGTCCATGGATATATCTGCCCATACTTGTGTCGGGATTGGGAGTGGTTGTAGCAGTCCCGCTGGAGACTGGGTATCCGCCTTATTTTTTTGGCAAATGATGCATTCGGCTATGAATTTTTGGACCGAACTTCTCATGCCTTTCCAATGGAATTGRGTGGCTAGTCTCTTGTAAGTGCGTAGGATCCCTGAGTGCCCTCCTGCTGGGGATGAGTGGAACAATTCCAAGAGCTGCTGAATATGGGCTGAATCCTGTGGTATCACCATTCGGCGTTTATATAGTAGCAAGTTGTTTTCCACTGTGTACCTTGGGTGACTAGTAGGGTCTTCTTGGATCTCTGCGCGCAGCTTACACAGTTGTGGGTGCCTTTCAGCTTCCTCCCTTAGCTGTCCCATGATGGAACATGTAGGGCCCATGAGAAGTAATGGGAACAGTTGTGGCTGGCGTGAAAGTGCATCTGCCACCTTGTTAGCGTGCCCAGCCTTGTATTTAATGACACAATCGTAGCCAAGTAATTTGGCTATCCAGCGCTGCTGTTCCGGGGAGAGTACGGACTGTTCCAACAGAAATTTCAGGCTCTGGTGGTCAGTTCGTATGATGAATCTCCTTCCCAGGAGGTAGGGACGCCATCTCTGAACTGCAAGAACAATTGCTATCAATTTGCGTTCATATATTGATTTGGCCCATTTTTGTGCGGTCATTGCCTTGCTGAAAAATGCTAATGGTCTTTCTTCTTGCATGAGGACTGCACCCACTCCTTGGCTTGATGCATCACATTCAATCATGAAGTCCTTTGAGAAGTCGGGAAGTGCGAGCGTTGGCAAGGAGGAGACAATTGTCTTGAGTGTCTCGAAGGCCTATTGGGCCTCCTTAGTCCAGCAGAACCCATCTTTCTTAAGCAAACTGGTCAAGGGGGCAGCAATCAGTCCATATCCTCTAATGAATCGCCGGTAGTGTCCTGTTAATCCCAAGAAGCCTCGTAACTCCTTAACATTTTGAGGTCGGGGCCAATTTGTCATGCTTGAGATCTTTTCCAGATCTGCTGCTACCCGGCCGTTCTCGACCACGTGCCCCAAATAATGTACTTGTGTTTGTCCAAATGTGCACTTTGACTCCTTTGCAAGGAGCTTATGAGTCCTTAACAATTCCAAGGTGATTTGTAGATGTATTAGGTGTTCGTCCCATGTAGCGCTATATACAAGTATGTCATAAAAAAATACAAGTATAAATTTGCACAAATGGGGTCGAAATATGTCATTCATAAGGGCCTGGAATGTAGCTGGCGCATTGGTCAGCCCAAACAGCATAACTAGGAATTCATAATGCCCTTCGTGTGTACGAAAGGCAGTCTTGTGGATGTCTCCTTCATAGACCCGAATTTGATGATATCCCGGTCTCAAGTCTAGTTTAGAGAATATGGTGGCCCTGCCAAGTTCATCCAGTAGTTCATCGATTACTGGTATCGGAAACCAATCCTTGACAGTGATACTGTTCAGGGCCCTATAGTCTATGCAAAACCGCCACGTCCCATCCTTCTTTTTCACAAGTAATACTGGCGAGGAAAATGGGCTTTGGCTGGGTTGTATGATTTTTCTATCAAGCATCTCTTGCACTTGCCTCTCAATTTCCAGTTTCTGAAAATAGGGGTAACGATAGGGCTTTACATTTGTAGGTGCAGCCCCGGGCAGCAAGGGGATGTGATGGTCATGGGCACGCTTTGGTGGTAGTTCCTTAGGTTCTTGGAAGATCACTGAGAACTTCTGAAGGAGCTGCTGTAGTTGTGCACGGCCCTCTTCGGATCTGCTGTCTTGGGCTAGAATGGGGCCATTTGTGTGGGAGTTTATCTGCATTAAAACGATGTGGGCTGGGTCTGCTGTTTGCTTCCTTAGGGAGGCGAGGCTGATAGGTCCTGGGCCCTTAGATCGTTGCCCTTGAATATGTACTTGTGAGCTGCCCATTTGGAAATCCATGGTGAGGCGAGCCCAATCACATATCACCGGCCCTAGTTGCCTTAACCATTGGACTCCGAGAATGACATCTGCTCCACTGATTTCCAGGGGGTGTAACCCCGAACTCATGTCCTTGTATCCTTATCTTTAATTCTATGCACGTATTGTCACATACCAGGTTGCTCCCATTAGCTACGTGCACCCGAAAGGCTGCACATGGTTGGACTAGAACCCCTAGTTGCCTGACCAAGGTTTGGGTGATGAAATTGAGGGTGCTGCCACTGTCTATCAGAACCGATACATGGCGCCCCTGTATCAGTCCGGTTACTCACATCGTTTGAGAAGAAGCAAGACCAGTCAAGGCTTGCAGATACTTCCGGGTATTCCTTTGTCCCTTGTACCCATTCTTGGTCATCCCTTGGCTCCTCAATGTCGGCTGATTGCTCGACATATTTAGTTTTAGGTTGCAGGAAGAAAACTTGCGGGACCTTACAGCGATGGCCCAGCCCGAACTTGTCTCCACATGCGTAGCAAAGGCCTTTTTCTCGTCGGGCTTGCATCTCAGCCCAGGTTAACCTCTTGGCTGAGCCGGGGCCTGAACCAGAGCTGGCATCCTTGCCTGTGATTCTTACTCCTGATCTGGGCTCTGGTTTACCCAAGATTCCAAGTTCTTGGTTGGTTACACCAGGTCTGATCGCAGCTCCCAAGGGTCGGCTGATCCTTCTTGCCCAGTTTATTTTGTCTTCATGTAATCGGGCTATTGCTGCTCCTCCCACAAAACTGCCGACGAGCGCGTTTTCTGGCCAGCCTTGCACGCGCACTGCCAATCTTTCAAACGCTATCTGATAATCTTGGACGGAGCCGGTCTGTCGTAGCTTAGCGAGGCTTTCGTCATAATTCTCAAAGGCTGAGACCCCAAATCGCATGGTTAAGGCGT